TTTGGCACTCGAAACATACATTTTTTAGTACTTATGATTTCATACGAGTACCACACAGCAAAAACCTATTTTGTAACATACTTGCACGATCTGGTTTTAGAGATTTTCCGCTTTTCTTGGTATTTTGGATGATGTTCCTGGTTTTTTGGGAGGTGTTCCGGGTTTTCTGGGGAGTGTTCCTGTTTTCTGGGGGTGTTCCGGGTTTTAGGTGGTGTTCCGGGATTTTTGGGTGTTCCGGGATGTTCCCGGGGTTCCGGTTTTCCTGGAAGTACTACATGCCGTAATCCAGAGCCGCGCTATGTACAGGAACAATGAGGCCATCAACGCCACCATGAAACTCTGGTATTGTATACAGAGAATCAGGCCTCCCACTGACTGTCTCAAACCTAGATTTTCTGATGTAATGAATGTTCCAATTATTCTTTGCTTCATCAAGCCCTATTTGAAGTACCTTTGCAAAGGAGAACCGCAAACATTCCTTCATGAGAGGATCAGCCAAATTTAGATCACCTGCATCAGCCATATCCTTGAAGAAAGACACCCACCAAGAAGCCCAGTTTTTATTAGAGAAACTCCACCATTCCTCAATCCTTTGATATCGGGGAGATGGCACATATCTATGGGAATCCGGGTCATCCCTAAAAAAAGGCAGCCGAAAAGAGTGTATACCAGCCATAATTCCATTTTCTGTGCCTAAGTCAGTATATAATTCAAGGGGGCATCCTCCGTGCTCTCGAACAGCATCCAGATAATACGCCGGTATGTTGTCAGGAAGGTTGCTGAAACGCGTGACATACAGCTAAAGTACTTTCCTACTATAACCATCTATACAACCATGTATCGGAAATCCGATCGGCTTTATCTTATCATAACCGTCTGCATGCCAAACCTTATTTGAGCCTGTGTTTTTCTCGCTTCAACTCCATCGGAATCTAGTTCACGAACAATTTCTTCCACTTTGCTTCTGGGTAGTCTTATTCCTTTCTGCTGGAGAGCATGCCAAACGCTGCGGTAGCCAAAAGAACTTCTAGGATCATCTATTATGTCGACAATGGCGTTTCTTAACACTTGAGGATCAAATTCCACCTTATTTCGGTGTAACTTGTACTGTTTCAGCTTTCTCTTGTTGGTACTAAGGCTTATTGTTATGTTGTGGTGTCTCCTTAACATGTAGAGAATTTCCTGATACACATAACCTTTAAAAACCAAGGACTCTAAAAGCACTCTCTTGTTTTCAGCCATCTTTAAACGCTACGCGCTTTACGAGCAAGTTCTGCTGGGATTTTTTAACTAATTCCACTGACATGCAAGTAAATTGAAATTGCTGTGAGCAAGTTGAAATTGCCGTCAGCAAATGGAAATTGCCGTGAGTATGTTGAAATTGCCCAGAGTAAATTTAAATTGCCGTGAGTATATTGAAATTGCCGTGAAGAAATTAAAATTGCCGTGAGTGAAATTGAAATTGCCGTGACACTTTTGGGCCACCGTAGATTTATGACTATCTGGCTTAATTCTCTCATAAGGATAGACAATCGGCCCGCATTTCATGAACACTGGTTGGGCCATGGTGTCATTTATTAGATGAGGGTGGGAACCTCCTCGGATATGATGTGGTGAAGTCTAATTTTCAACATCTGTAAGTAATCTTATTTATAAGTCGCTACTAAAGTAAAGAACTTCTACACCCATCGGAAGCCAAGAAAAGTGGCTTAGAAACCTTCAAGTTGAAAATGCAAGTGATATAGACTGGAAGAAAGCATACACAATCGCCTTCAACTGTACGGCATCTACCAAATTAAAAACCTTTCATTTAAAGTTCTTACATCCGAGGATTGCCACTAACGATGTTTCAAAGAAAATTAACCTTAAGCAATCTGATAAATGTTGTTTTTGTCAACGAGAAATAGAGACTATTACTCATC